TAGAGGAGGGAAGGGACTTACGAGTGAGCATGAAAACCAGACTGAGTGTGTCTGAATCCAGATAGAGGTGTCTGGGGAGTGTTGGCAAATGGAGTTAGCATAGAAAGGAAGAGAGAAGCTTGAGTGGGTATTGACAAGAAGAGGGGGGTTTGGGGTGTGTGTGTGTGTGTGTGTGTGTTTGTGTGTGTATGTTTAGGAGAAAGCACAACTAAGTGTGATTGAAGACTGCAGGGAAAGATCTAGTGGTAAGAGATTGGCTGAAGCTGAAAAGACAGGGAGGGAGAGAGGAGAAAAAGTTAAATGATGTTGTGATCCTCCAATGTGTACTTTAAAAATATATATAATGTTATTTAATGTTGACTTCTGTTGTCCTAAAAGCAATGTCAACACAGACTTTTTTAGTTATTATTAAATAACTTTTAGAAGCTGCACTTGAACTCGGTGAAGTCTAGGAGTCCAGATACTAGTATTTTAGCCCCAACTCTGGCACTGACTTGCTTTATTATTGGAGGCTCAGTTTCCTTACCCATAAAATGGGTATAATCATAACTCCTTTCAAGTGCTGTTTTTGGAGATAAAGTAAAAATAATGTGTTTTGCAAACTGTAAATTAATAATAAATAAATACAAACTATACAAACTATATATAAATACAAACTATAAATAACACTTACAACCTACTGTAAATGTTATTTAAAGATATCATGTTTATATAATATTCCTGGAGCTATCACCTCTGCTTTAGAGAATGTGCCCCAGCCACTGAGCATGGTACACCTCAGTGCCTCCATCAATAAAATCAGACAACTTAGGATCGTAGACCTCTCTGGCAGGTAGCGTCTAAAGACTAATGATGTGGAAGAATTAGTTTAAATCTTTAGGATAAAAAAGATGTAAAACTAAGGTTGTAATGAACACTTTTTTCCACACAGTATTCTTAATGTTTTTTGAGATTTTTCAGGGCATAAGAAGGATGAAATCTTGCCATTTGCAATGACTTGGATGGAGCTAGAGAGTATAATGCTAAGCGAAATAGGTCAGTCAGAGAAAGACAAATACCATATGATTTCACTCATGTGGAATTTAAGAAATGAAACAAATGAGCAAAGGGAAAAAAGAGAGAAAGAGGCAAACCAAGAAACTGACTCTTAACTATAGAGAACAAACTAATGGTTTCTAGAGGGGCAGTTAGTGGGGAGAGGGTTAAGTGTGTGATGCGGATTAAGGAGTGCACTTGCTGTGATGAGCTCGGGTGTTGTCTGCGTGTGTGGAATCACTATATTGTCAACATGAAACTAATATTACACAGTATGTTAACTAACTGGGATTTAAATAAAAACCTTTAAAAACAAACAGAAAAGGGAAAAAAGATAATTATGAAATAGTATTCATTTGTTTATTTTTTGGTGTTGGTATTTTATCATCTCTTTTTGGATATAGAGATGTATGCAAAGAAAGGTAAATCCACTGGGCACCTGGGTGGCTCAGTCGATTAAGCGGCTGCCTTTGGCTCAGGTCATGATCCCAGGGTCCTGGGATCCAGTTCTGCATCAGGCTCCCTGCTCTGCAGGGAGCCTGCTTCTCCCTCTCCCTCTGCCTGCTTCTCTGCCTACTTGTGCTCTCTCTCTATCTCTCTGTCAAATAAATAAATAGAATCTTTAAAAAAAAAAAAAGAAAGGTAAATCTACTAAAGATTATTAATGACTGAATCAGAAGGGTTTTTGTTCTTTGTCTTTTTTTAACAGTCCCAATTGTGGGCATCTGTTATCACACTTCTCTATTACTCCAACAACCACTTTGCTAAGGAGTTAAGCCACCAGAAAACTATTGGAAAATTATTTTGTCAGTATGTTTCATGCTATATGACCACAGGGAAAAGGCTGGAGCCAAAAATCACTAAAAAGTAATAGCCTGTTTACTAAGAGACATTCCCAAATGTTTATTTTCTTCTGTAGTTACAGATGCAGTGATGAGACCTCTACCTGTGGCAATTCCTGTCATTGACCTTCATTAAAATATTAAAAAAAAAAAAAAACATGACAGAAGTCCCACTGATACCAACAGTTTGAGTGACCTTAAGCATATCACTCCATCTCTTGAAACTTCTGAGTCCCCAGCTTTTAAATAAAGGCAGTGGGGGGATTCTAGTTGCTTCTAAACTGAGGGGCAGTTGTAAATGTATATGAGCATTTTTTTTTAGTGGCCAGTGCCCAGTGATGCTAAATGCCCTGCAGAGAGCATGGGGCAATCCTGCATAATACACTGCCCCATCCAAAATGCCCCCAGCAGCCTGAAATAGCCCGAATGTCCCTTCTTACAGTCATGATACCAAGTCAAGTATCTGTCTATTCATTAATTCATTCAATCACCCTTATTGATCCCCTACTGTATGCTGGGCACCAAGCTTCCCTAGCTGAATATTCCAGAAACCCTGGCTTGAATTGTATCCTTCTTTATCTTTTCCCCTTCCTTTTAAAGGTCTTCCCCATCCATAGGACCACGTGACATGTACAAGTAAGGATTTTTCAGTTCAACCCATTAAAGGAATAGATCCCAGGATTCATCCAGTGCTTTGGGGTTTCTAATGACATTGAGAACCAAAAAGGCTCACTCAGTCCTCCCCAAAGTTTGAATGTTGGCCTGGTTTGCCTTTAATAATTCAGGAATAGAAGCCTTCAGCTCCACTGACCAAAGGCTTCCAGTTGGACAATGAAATCCAAATTGTGGAGCATGTAGCTAAATATTTCAACTGTTGATTCAATCATTTCTAATTTTTAAAACAAAACACCAACTGTTTTTTGTCCAGTGAATAATTTTCACTGGCAAACTCAAATTTCCTAATATACTTAAATGGCATTTGAAGCCAATTGTACTAACTGCCTTAGAGCGTTTTACCATATCAAGTAGGATCATTAACTTGCTAATTAACTGTGCAGTGAGCAACCCAGTGCTATCCTGCAATCCTAGCAGCCGCCACCCTAATACATAGTCCCTCCGGGAGTGCTGAGACCTCTAGACTCAGACTCCAGCCATCACGCTGTTACTCAGCATTCCCATGGCCCTTCATCACAGCACCCCGCAGGGAAAGCTTACATTCTGATTGCTTGTGTTGCAAAGGAGACCAAGGCACAGAGAAGAGTGAGAGTCTGCCAGATCGAAAAAAACTTTTGGGATAGAGGGGATTCTGAGTGCTGTTTACGGTGCCAAAAGTCAAGCTGATGGTCAGGCATGCTTTGCAAATATACAAACATTTTTCATCCTTTAATGAATCTTAGATGTTACTGATCATTAAAAATCCTGTATGTACTTTTTCAATCACTATCATTGGGATACTTCTCATGAACACAGCAGGGTGTGGGTACTGAGAATGTAGTCCTGCTCTCATAGACCTCTGGACACATGGGGATGTCAGACATTGTACCAGTAATTCTGTACTCATTACATATTGTTGCAGTTAACACTATAAAGGACACAGGACACAAGGAAAGCATCGATGGACCTGACGTAGCCTGGGAACCCAAGAGGCTTCCTTGAGAAGCCAGTATATAAGTGCAGGCCTGAAGGAAAAGGAGGCAGGAGGTCAGGAATTCAGGTGGGGCATTCCAGATGGAGGGGGATGCATGATTGAAGACCCTAGGGCAGGAAAGAAAGGCTTATTCCATGTAGGATAGGATGCCAGTTTAGTCCAGGTGGCAAAAATGGGAGAGGGTGTCATGAATGGATTTGAGATGTTTAGAAGATGGAATTGTCAGAACTTGGTGACCGACAGGATATAGGCAGTAAGAGTGGAGGAGTACAGGGATCACTGCCCTGCATCTGACTTCTGGGTGGTGAAGTCACTTGTTTAGGATTCTAGCAGAGGAGTGGTACTGGGCAATGGGACAGGATCACCAGTTTCTCATTCAATACATGGAGTCTGAAGTCCTGTGGGACATAGTTTGTCTAGTGGAGACCCTGCCTCACATGGAGTATCCAAAGGTCACTGTGTCTTACTAGGGTGTAGTAGAAACAACTTGCTCTGTGGGGCCCAGAACATGTGTTTGGAAGCACAGTTATAGACCAGCATTGAGACCCTTGTAATTTATAAAATGTTTTCTCAGGTATTATGTCTAAGCTTCTCAGTGAACGTTGGAGGAAGTCAGTGAGTTATTATCTTCATTATACTAGCAGGAAATTGAGGCTTCCTGAGTTAGTGATTTGCCTAAAGTCACACTGCTGTAAGTAAGGATCTGGTACTCAAATTCAAATCTTCTGACTCCAGGCACAAGGGGATCCTCACTTCACCACGTTGACTTGCTACATGATTGGGGCCAACTCTCTACCAACTCCTGGGGCTTCCATGTCAGATGGAATCTCAGGATTAGCATAAAATATGCAAGAAGTGAAATCAAGGGTTTTTTTTTTTTTTTCTATACTCTTTATTCTTCCCTCTCTCTTTACTCTTTATTACAACAGTAATTTTTGAAGTATTGTAAACTTGAGAGTCATATTTGTGTTTATATTTAGAGCAAATATATTTACAAATAGTAAGGAGACAGTTATCTGGGAGAAATTAAGTTCAACTTTTGTCTAAATGATAATAATTTATAAAACATGGTAAGACCTCTGCCTCCTCACCTCCCATCCCCAGATTTACTCTAAAATAGAGGAACCATCTAAAATGGCTCAGCGTATTCTCCTCTCATGTGAGGTGTTCTGGGGGAGTCTGGGCACTGAGAAAGATGGGAGGGAGAGCTGCCCCAATCCAGTCGAGGCAGGAGACCCTTCACCACCAGCCTGTCTTATCCATTGGCCTTTTGCCCTTTCCCTCAAAGCTTGGAAGATGTTTAAGTAAAGTTAGTTTGTGCTTGTTTCAGTCTGTTTAACTGAATCAGTTCTGGGTCTACACAGACACTCAGGTTCAAGGGAAATACCTTCTCTATAGGGCTGTTATTTTTTTTATTACATGGGAAGCTTCCCCCTGAACTTCCTGTTGTTGCTTACCTCCCTCCTTCCCTATAGCTCTTGGACTGCTTTGTGATCCCAGTGGTGATTTTGCTCTCCTGGTTCTTCCTGCTGATCCGGTACAAAGCTGTACATTTCCTCGGCATCGTGGTCTGCATCCTGGGAATGGGCTGCATGGCAGGAGCGGATGTCCTTGTGGGAAGACATCAGGGAGCAGGTGAGTCCCTAGGTGTTCACCACATTATGTGCCTGTATGCGTGAGGCCAAGGCAAGACACGGACATGTTCATGGTGGGGTAGAAACAAGGAACCTGGTCTTCCCGGTGTCTGTGTCTTACTCATGTTTGTTCCTCAACACCTTGAACAGTGGCACATGGGAGGTGCTTAATCCATGTTTCTTGAGTGAATGAAGGAGGCAAAATACAAATTTTCTGCCCTATCTACATGTATTCAGAAACATTCAGATGGTGTTTAAAACTAAGGGTTAGGACCCATTTGGAAGATATTTTGGAGGCCATTGCTGCCTGGCTCAAACCAGCTGGTTAGACATGGTGTCAGTCAGTGGTCCTCTCCTAAACCGCAAGGGCCTTCCCCACACCTCCCCCTCCCCCTCCAACTCTTTCTCAAGTCAGAGAAAGACTGAGCTTTCAGACCACTGGGTGGAGGTTGGTGTATAAGCTAAGAGTGGATATTTGAAGTTTGAAGACTAGATTGGGAACACTTAATTTATTGGGGGGGGGGGAGCTAAGTTTAGTCTCCTTGTGCATGGTTTTTGTTTTGTTTTGTTTTGTTTATTTTTTTGCTGGGAAGGATTTATGGTCATCAATCACAGCTTGTAGACCTGCAAGATTTACTCATCAAATTGCTATGAATCTGATGGGGATCCCTGACTCAGGATGGTTTCCAGAGGATCCTTTTTTAAGCCTTGCTGTTCTTGAAAATGTACAAAAATTCTTATGTTACATAGGGGTTTTGGAGAACAGAAAAAAATGACTTCCTTTTTTAATATAAAGAATGGGATAGAAAATATTCCCATTTCTATAGTTCTTGGCCTTGACCTTCCTTCTAGGGAATTAGATGATAGTCAAAATTGGGACATTTGTCATAATGAGACTAGGTTGTATGAAGTACCTGAAATAAATACAATTTATCTTTCTAAGTTGCATCGTAGAACATCGTAGCTGAAACAGACCTTGTTCAGCAACTTTACATGTGACCCACAAGAACACTAAGATACAGGGAAGCCAAGTGAGTTCCCAAGGTCACAGAGCTACAAGAGCAGGGTCTAGAATAGAACCCAAGGCTCTTGAACTCTGGGGCAGGTTTCCTTCCCTCTCCCACATCTCTGGGAGCTAAAGATACAACACGGAGCAAAAGAGAGACAGCCTCGGCCCTCACAAACCCACTGCCTACACAACATAATCAATCCTACCTCAACAGATAGACTAAAAATACACACTCCAGCTTCTCCCAAATTCTCTTCTATGAAACACTGGTTCCATGAGATATCAATAGATGTCATATGAAAGGGCCAGTTTTACACTGTATACCCATAGTGATCCTGATATGGATAATCTCTTTGGACCAATCAGATAGTTTTTTGTCTGATACAATGTGGCTAGTGGTTCTAAAGTCATAATTTAATTACACTTTCTCAGCTTTACTTGAAGGATGTGAACATAGACTAAGCAGAAGCATGTGCTCTTCTTTATGAAAATTCTGCTTTGCTGAGCCTTAGCCATTCACCACCAGCCGTCACCTTGCATTTCCTAGTCAAGGAAGACAATTGCCCTGATAATCTGAATGTTTAAGCTCAGAATGTTAAGCTAAATTGAATCGATTTCACTAGACTGTATTCACTACTTCTGGGGGGAAGAAATGTTTTCTTGATTTCAAATGCAGTATTAGGAGAGGAGTAATACTATTAAAGAAAAGAAAGCCCATTTGAGGGTCTTCCAAAAGTAGTAATTTTTAAAAACAATACAGAGAAGCTCAAACATACTAGAGTGGATTTTATCTGTTTAAGACTCACAGCACCATCCTTTTTGTGACATATGAAGTCTTTGTGTTAACAGTTAAAATTTATCATCATGGAGTATCTTCTGTGTGAGAGTAATGGTGCCCAAGGACATGGTATGATGTTCTAAAGGCAACCAAATATAGGATGCAAGGGCTTATTTTACAAAATAAATTAAGCAAGATAAATTACGCAGCAATTTAAGCTGTCATATAAAATGTTTGAAAAAAGAAAAAAAAACCACTCTGGTTTTAAGGACAATATAATCTTAAAATTGGCATGCATCATTATGCAAAATATTCCATTTGTTTTCACCTTTATGGTAGAATTGGTTCAATGTTATTACTTAGCCAGGGACAGAACTTTTCTAAAATACTTCAGTCACTCACCAGAACTTCAGTCAGGCATTCAACTCAATATAAATTGTCATCACCCAATCAAGAGCTTTTCATAGGAAAAGAGACTGTCTGACTTGATCCTTTTTATATTGCTTAATCCACGGTTCACCTTAGCTTGGGATTTTGAAAATTCTTTCCTCAAGCACAATGGTAATGGTCTGTTCAAAGTTACTCTAACTTCATTATAATTAAAGTAATTGCTCTAATTCTTGCTGGAATGTTTCTTCCTCATTTTGATTTAAGCCTTGCTAAAGGAAACGTCACAGATGGCAGTAGGCTCTCCAGATACGAAATGTCCGTATCAGGAGTTGTGCTTCTGATGAAACTTTGCCATTAGTTTTGCCCACCGCAGACAGAAGTGGAGAGAAATCATCCGCAGTCCGTGGCCCGGGAGGCTCTACCTCAGAGCCTGTGGACTGTGCTGTACGAAGTGGGAGGGGAAGGGTAGAGAGCCCTAAGACTAAGATAAAACTTAGTTAAAACAGCTCCTTATTATAAAATCGATTTCTTGCTCTCCACAATATCGTTTTTCTACTAAAATACATTTATTGCACCTTACAGTTCATTTATTAAAGATGTTAGATACCTATAACAACATTTTTTCTTATTATTAGACATAATTCTATAGTTATTTCAAGGAAGAGAAAACATTTTCAAGGAGGAACATTTTAATTAAACACAATAAAAAAAAAAAGAGTGGCCATTTTTTTGGTGCCAAGCACTTTCCCGTGCATTATCTCATTTAATCCTCCTAACTATGCAAAGAAAGTTCTCTCATTCTCACTTTTGCAGCTGAAAAAATCAAGGCTAAGGGAGATCAGAGGCGTGTGCAAGCCCTTGAACAGCATGCTTTTGGAATGCACAGGCCCACTTATACATGAATTTTTTTTTAATAAATACAGTACGGTACTGTAAATGTATTTTCTCATCCTCTTGATTTTCTTAACATTTTCTTTTCTCTAGCTTACTTTATTGTAAGAATACAGTGTATAATACATATAACATACAAAATATGTGTTAATTGGTTATATTATTGGTAAGACTTCTGGTCAGCAGTCGACTATTAGTAGTTAAGTCTTTGGGGAGTCAAAATTTATATGCAGATTTTTGGCTGCATGGGGGTCAGCACCACTAACCCCTGCACTGTTCAAGAGGAACCTGTAAATATAGACTCTCCCAAGGTGACCACAGAGGCATGAATGAGAGGTCTTTCCCCAAGCCCAGCCCAGATTCTTTTATGTGAAGTCATCTCCCAGAGAAAGCTCAGTGTTCCCAAATGAACGCTGAGACTCTGGTTCTATGGTTTTAGATTGTTCCAGCCAATCTGGGAATCCAAGTCCACTCTAAGGTATGAGCCCTTGCCCTAGAATCATGCTGGAGAGAGCACCCTTCCCATTTGGCCTCTCTCGTGCCCCAGAGCTGCATGCCTGCCACGCTCCCACGTGCTGAGCTGTACAGGACAGAGCAGGAGACTACTTGGGTACAAGCCCACATGGGCTGCTAACTTCCACTCTCCCTCCCTGGCTTCACACTTCCTAGAGTGGAATTTGCCTAATTATAGGAAATAGCTGGGTGCAGCACTTATTAAAAATTGGACAAACCCAAACCAGCCAAAACTGATTTTAAAACAAATAGATATTTTTATGAAAATAAAAGGAAATATTAATGTAATAGTGAATTGCCTATATTTTCACTCTTACATTACTTCCTTTAGGGGAGTTCAAAGTTTCAACCCATAATCCCTTTCACTCTCGTTTTCTAAGCAAGGACACATTTTGCCCATAGTCAAGATAAAGAGTCTCGACTGCTTCTGTTATAGCTTCTCTCCCTGTAGAGCAGAGGGTGGAAATTCAGACTGATTCTGTTTGTTCTACACCATGCCTTCTTAAACTGTTGGAAAGCACCCCACAGCAGATAGAACAAGTACATGGATTAGCATATATTCCTAGACATATATATAGACAGAAGACATGGGGCTTTGTAGAGATGATGCAACCTAGAAGCAACTGGTCCCTTTTTTGGGTAAAGGAAGACTTCTGGTTGGGCAGACACAGGCAGCCTTTTTATACCAGAACATATCCGGAGTGCAAGTAAACACACTTGACTGGATCTCCGGTTGGCAAATTACTGGACTTCTGTAAAAACATCAGAATAGAATAGACAAAGGAAGGTCAATTTGCTGGTGCCAGATTCTCATTAAGAAAATTTTAATGAAGCTGCATTTGTGTTTTTGGTTCCTAGGAGAAAATAAGCTGGTAGGGGACCTTCTGGTCTTAGGAGGAGCCACGTTATACGGGATCTCCAACGTCTGGGAAGAATACATCATCCGAACCCTGAGTCGAGTGGAATTTCTGGGGATGATTGGACTCTTCGGGGCTTTTTTCAGTGGAATTCAATTGTGAGTAAAAATAATAAGAAATTCAGACAGTAGAGACTCTAGGGGCTTATTCTAATTATTTTCATTAAGGTACAGTGGGTCTCTTTATTTTATAAAAATCAAGGCTGGAAACCTTTCACTAACCTCCTCCGTGAAACCTGAAAACTCAATATTTTTCTTAGTAAATTTCTTCAAAACTAAAGAAGTTTATTATCAATGATTAGAAAACCACCTAGTGGACTTTGAACACAATTTACAAGAAAACAGTAGAAGTACATTGATTCTCCTAAGCCAGCCAGTGGTTTTACTTAGAGAAGTAGAATAACAAAGTGTAAATGCCATGATTTGATGCGCTTTTGAAAAGGGACATCTGTTTACTAGTGACAACTCCTACTAGAAAACTTATAGTTTAAGTTGGTCCTTTCCTAAGTTTACTCTTTTATTGCCCATGGATTTGCCTGAAGGAACCATATTTCAAATTCATCAATTAGAAGTTTGGTGTTCCTCTTTTCCTTAAACAGATGAAGATGAAACACAGACATTCACCAAGCATCAGAAAGTCCAAAACACCAATTTTGCAATAATCCTGCATTGGAGCATATAAGTCATCACTGACTAGTGCCTCAGAATTGTAGTGAGAATAAGTGTCAGACAAAGCATACTTTTCCATCAATAAAGACCATATGTTTTAGTTTCACGTAAGGGGTGAAGAATGATGGTACGGTCCCCAGTCTAATTTCACCAAATCCTTTTCTACAAAGCAAGTAATTCTAATTTCACCAAATCCCTTTCTGCAAGGCAGGTGCTTTGTAATTGTTTTGGTTCAGTATCTGAAATTATTTATGGAAGATATTTTGGCATCACCTTAAACATGTTTTTTTTTTTTTTAAGATTTTATTTATTTGAGAGAGAGAGTGAGAGAGAGAGAGAGCATGAGAGCGGGGTGAGGGGCAGAGGGAGAAGCAGACTCCCTGCTGAGCAGGGAACCTCATGCGGGGCTCGATCCCAGGACCCTGGGATCATGACCTGAGCTGAAGGCAGACACTTAACGACTGAGCCACCCAGGCGCCCCACCTTAAACATGTTTTGCCAGTAGGCTGTTTCCAAGAATCCTCCAAATTTTGGTATCCCGAGATACAGGGAAAAGCTCCATAGCAAACGAGGCACGAAGATGGGGAAAGACTTTGAAAAGGATTTATTTTTGATTCATTTTGAAAGTGGGATGGCACTTTAAAGCTCCTAAATTTGGTGCTTCAGCTTTGTGAGAGGGAAAGAAATTGCCTGGTTCAACTATTCATGACCAACATTTTGTAGATAGATGGCTCATTTTATGGATTATTATTCCTGAATCCAAAAAACATCATCAGATATCCAGTACTCATTTGCTTCAGTTACAGTCCATTCGAGCTAACGGAGCCCCTCAGTGCCACTGCTGTCAAAATAATAGAAGTGGCCCGTGGCTGTGTATGGCAAATGGGGTGCATTGAGGGTACGCTGCTACCAACATATTTCTGGTGGAGCGGGGCCAGTTTCCCCTCCGGGTCCTCTTAGAGCCGTGGTTCTCAAAGCATGTTTCTCTGGCCAGCAGCACCTGGCACCGCAGGAGAACTTGCCAGAGATGCACATCTATGGGCCCCACCCAGATCTGCTGAACCATGGGATGGGGCACGAGAAACGGTTTCAACAGGCTTTCCAGATGGCTTTTTTGTACCGTAGGGTTTGAGAACCACTGCCCTAGAGAATCCTCAATCAGAAAACTGACTTAAAAAAAAAAACCAAAAAACCTACAACAACAAACTTGGTTAAACCTGCAAGCACAGAAATTTTCCATACCTCACCATTGGCTTTTCGGAACGCATCTAAGCAAGAAGAAATCAAGGCCGCAGGCTGACTCTGGAGAAAAGGCCAGTGGAAGGTTGGAGCGCCACCACGCCCCTGACACATCCTCACCTCTGCTGGCCACACCTTCAGGGGAAACCTCAGGCTGCCAGAGTAGACTTCCCCGTCCCTGGCCCAAGGTTATCTTTGCAATGTGGTTGGTTGTTTCGTGACTTGTATAAATCTGGTAAATGAAAAAAGGAGAAAAAAAAAGAAGTAGGACGCATTATAATCTTGCTCATCAGGTCCGCTTTCTTTGAATTTGCAGAGCCATAATGGAGCACAAGGAGCTGTTAAAGGTGCCCTGGGATTGGCAAATAGGTAAGGAGTTTGCTCACCTAAAAATGCTGTTTTTAGGGATATGTTTGAAGAGTGATACGTGTGGGCATGGGGCACGAACCATGAAAGGATTCAGAACGCAGAGGACAAAGGAAAATGAAATCCCTTGTCATTTTAGGAATTCTTGTACACAGTGAGAGACTAAACTGTGTGATTCATAATGTTTCCTACTTGAGCTTCTGCCCATTATCATCGTCAAGATGCCATTAGTGTAGACACAGAAGTATGTTATTAGGTTAAAGACCAACCAGAAAGAAAAAATGCCCAGAGGCAGTGGTGGGACCTAAATTACAGCAATTTTCTCTAGCCAAGAAGCACAAAACCAATGTGATCATTAAAAAGTGGCACTTTAGTAAAGGGGGAAAAAATGAACAAAAAGACATAAAAGAAAACAATGTAATGGGCATTTTGAGCCCATAAAAACCTTTTCAGAAAGGAGGACTTCGCACATAAGAAATGGTTAATTGATCTCCAAGTGGACTTGGTGGAAAATACCAGACATGCTCTGAGCTAGTTAATAGTCATCCAGGGTATCTCAGATTCCACCTGTTTCAAAAATCACTTTTCTCTTAAAAAAAAAAAAAGGGACAAGGATTTAAGATCCTGGGTGATTGCTATAATGATCACACGCAAGCCCTAAAAGGAAATAGCATTTAAAACCTTCTGCCTAGATATCCCTTCAGTGTCTATACCAAGACGCATGGGGGCCAGCAGTGAGCACAGGGCTTGGCTTATAAGGGTGCTTGGAAAATGCTCGCACTGTGAATGTGGGTGCAAGACGAAGCCAGATCGCCCACAGTGAAGCTGGATGCTGGAGCCACCTCCAGCTTATGTGAGTTTTGATGAGATTGACGGCTTCAGTCAAATTCTGCTTCCACCAGCAAGGACAGCAATGACGTAAGCTTCCCGGCACCACTTTACCTACCCCCGACCTGGAAGCATCCAAGGCCAGCTTGCTGCTGACATAATCCCCTCTGAAGGCACCCAGCCAGCTACAGAATCGGGCATGACTCTCCCTGGGGGTTATCGCAAGTGACTTCAAGGGCTGACCAGCTCTTGTGTCTGTCACAGAATCCTGCCATTTATTTTCTTTTGAGTTTTGCTATAGAATGTTACCATTAAATGAAAATCACCAGAGGAGGGGGTGCGGGGTGGAGGGGAGGGGCAGCCGGGAAAGGAAACCAGCTGCAGGTTACAGATGCCTTTGCCTTTGGGACTCTCGGAGCCAGGAAACAAAATGTGACCCATACTTGGTAACACTTCACCTGCAGTGGTATAAGTTCATTCATAGTAATAGTCACAGCAATGATCGAAAATAATTTGTCCTCTAATGATATGGATGTCATGTGCATGTCCACCGAGGTTCTATTCTAATTCAGTGTTAATTAAATGTGGCATCAAAAGGTAGTTTTACTCTTAACTCTCCTATTGTCATTAAACTGTCAGTCCCCTGTGTCCAAGCTGATGGAAGGTGGTATAAAAGGAATACATTATAGAGCCATCAGTTTAATTCCCGGTTGGAAATGAGGATGAAATGGGCAAGAAAGGAAGCCAGATATTCATCCTTTTCTTTCCAAAGCGTCGATAGGGTTAGGTTTAAGATTTTTTACATGAGGGCTACCTCTGTCCTCGTTACCTCATCCTGACCAACTACACAGTGTCATCGTTTAGCTCAGTTCTGGGCATATAACATTCAGTGAATAAATGTTTACTAAATGAGTGAATGAGTGAATGGCAAGCAAAGGGGATGGGGCCTGTTCTGCCCTCTCTCATCTTTCAAAATACAGACAACAGGGAAGTGGTGGGGCAATAGCGGGAGGTCTAGCCTTGACGATGCTCTTTCTTTCTGGGGACCGAGAGGCAAGGAGATATCAGGTGGGAGTCAGCATCCTCTCTAGCATCCCTGCACTCCTTGGGAAGTCACCCAAGAGTGCCGAGCTCCGATCGCTGTTTCTGGTGGAAAGCTCACAGCGTCTTAGTTAAGAGACCCAAATCTAAGACTCTTCATCTCCCATCATCTGTCAAAGCATTTCTCTGCCTCCCCTTTCTCCACATCAGCAATCCCCCTCACACGGTCTCTTGGACAGCTCATGTGGTTGACATTTTATCAAAGTAAAAAGATTTTTTTTCTACGGAGCAAGTGGGATAATAAATGTATTTATTCCGCGCTTGGAAGGCATTTTTTAAAACAGATTCCATTATTTTCCTATAACACTTGCAAGATCTAGAGAGTAATTCAAAGCAAGAAGACCACCTTTATTTTTGTGTGCTTCATTTCTTTGTTTTACCCTACCCAACAGAGAGCCTGGGTCTGGTTATGTAATCGTTAAATTCGAGCAAAATGTACAACCTAACAGAGCTCAAATGTCCTGTGGAGCAGGTGTGTTCAAATCACCGTCAGAAATCTAATTAATGGCTTCAACATTGCCTTTATCCCATTTACCATATTGTGTTAAAGGACGTGTGAACAAATACAAACTGATGTGAGAGCCAAACTCAAAGGAAAGAAAAAGTGAGCTGTGGACCATCAAGCACAGGGTTGTGGTATGCAGGGGACTCTTCTCGGCCCTTGTGGGGGATGCTCATTTTGGTTTGGATTTTCTCCTGGAGGCCAAAATAAGAGATTTGATCTTTCCCCGCAGATGGAGTAATGGGACGACAGAGCAGGAAGGACCTTAAGTATAATTAAGAACGCACCCTTTTTCCCAAGGCTGAATCAGAGGCCTGGGGAGGTGAGGTCACCAAGGAGGCGCACGGCTGCCTGTGGGGGGGCGGGGATGGGTATGGATGTGCTCTCTCTGAACAAGCCCCGCCCACCTCAGGCCCTTGGCCGACTTAGCCTGATGCATATGGGCTAAGAAGCCATCTTTAAGAATTAAAAATAATGTTTTAAAAATCTAGTATATTCAAAGGAAAGTGAAAGAGCATCAGTGGGATCACAAAGGGATGAGATAAAACATATTCAGCGTACACGGACACACGTGTATATCATATCTATCATATCTAAATGTATATCATAAGTCATACATCATGTATTTGTCATATATATATTATATATAAAATGAGATGCTCATTAGAATCACATCGGCTGCTCCATTAAAGCCCTGCTTCTCTTCATAATAATTAAGTAATATAGATTGGTGGTATGTGCTCAGAATTTAAAGTCTGGCAGCCTGTGTCCTGAGGGTAAGTTACTCAACCTCTGTATGCTGGTTTTTCCTCTTTATTCACATATCTATCTGTTTCTTACCCTTCCTCCGCTCTGCATTTCAGAGGCTGACTCATGCAAACTATACTTTCCAGGCTGTCCTGTTAAGGGGCTTCCAACTAGATTTGGCCAATGGGAGGCAGTAGGAGACTGGAGGGTGGGAGGAAGAAAGAAACCAGGGTGTGTCTCCCTGTTTCTCTCTGTTCAGGGTCAGGTCTCTAGAAATGGTTGCGTGCCCTGTGAGTGATTGATTGTACCTTTGCTGGGCTTTCCCCTTCGGACCCCTGGGAACATGGCCTCCTCCCTGGCTCTCTCTAGTTCCAGGAGTGTGAATAACTTCCTGCTATTGCTAATCTCTGGGGTGCCTCATCATCCCTTTTCCCCTTATCTCCCACTCAAGCACCTTTGTGACTTGTGCCCCATATTAAATATCCTCTATTGAACCTGTGGTATGGACTATTTCTTAACTGATACACTCTATTAGCCTGTTTCCTTCCCTGTATAAAAAGGGTAACAATAGTTATGGTGTTCTATGGTTGTAGATATTAGTTAATGCATCTAAAGTCCATGGCACGTAGCGAGCACACAATCGATATGAACTGATAGTATTCGTTCTCACTTATTTAACTTAAATCTCTTTAGTGCATGAGGACAACAGCTACCAAATGCTGTCTTTTGTGAGAGAGAAAGCATTGCAAAGAAGAAATGGCTACACACATACCTTGTCTATAAAGGTAGTTGTTGCAGCCATTATATAGCTGTCAGTCAAAAACTTACTCTGTTCATTTGTTTGATCACATGGATTGTTTGACTGAAAACCCTGCATGGAGAGCCCATTGAGTCTTCAGATTTATTGCGAACATCCACGAACTAGCTCATGTCCACCTCCGAACAGCACATCAGCAAATTGCACCAACACTGCCTCCCCATTTCAGTGTGATCATGAGTTCATGTGGCTGACTATGCTCTGCTCGAAAAACAGGATGTTCCCACGCAAAAACATTGGTTGACCTAGCAAAGCGGTGAACTGTGATGGCGCAGATATTCCATCCCTGTCCCCCTAAATTTAATTCCTGCAGTTTTTAAAAATAGGCTTAGAGTGTTTAAGCTTGAAGCACCCTGACGTCTCCTGATGAGTAGAGCGAAACTCTGCGGTGGATCTAGTTCTCTCCTCTCCGTGGCTCACCAGTCAGATGGTCACCGCTTCTCTGAGCCCGCTAATTATATATCCAGCTCCTCACTGGACAGATCCTCTGGGGTGATGCGTGAGCGTCTAAAACTAACATGTGCAACACAGAGCTTTTTATTTCCCCTGAAAACCTGTCCTCTCTCCGTTCTCTGCATCTCAGTAAATGGCGCTGTAATTCACCCAGTTTCTAAACTAACCAGTAACTCATGAGAACCCATGGATATCGTTGCTGGCCCCTTTCTCCAGTCTATCATCAGGGCTTGCTGAGTGCCCCCATTCCCAGCCACTCTCCTCCATCTCCACTGCCATCCCAAGCAGAGCCACGAGCCTCTCTTGCCTGGACTAGGACACTGCCCTTCTCGCTGGTCTGCCATCCCTTCTTGGCATAGCAGCCAGAGTCCTCGTGTAAGGATGTGGGTCCAGTGTTAGCCACCGGCCACCAGCTCCTCAATGGCTTCCTCTTACAACTAGAACAAGATGTTGATTTCCTTCCTAGACCTACAGAGCCCTGCATAATCCATCCTCTGCCTAATTTTCCACCCTCATCCCTTCCCACTGCCCCATTCTGTTCATTCTGCACAGATGTCCTGGCCCCTGGCAGCTCCAGGAACACATGAGGCCCTGTCATCAGGGTTTTTCATTTGCAGATCTCCTTGCCTAAAATGTTCTTGCCCTGGCTCCTCCCTGACCATCTCCTTTCAGTCCTTCAGCATTCAGAGGAAATGCCACTTGCACAAAGAAGCATTAGCTAGTCACCCTTAATGAAGCAAGCCCCCTGCCATTCCCTAAAACGAACATTCTTTTCCCCGTCTTAGCATTAAAGCAACCCTAAGGTTCTCCTCTATTCTGTTTTCCATTGCTTTGCTAGCTGAGGGTAGAGTAGGTCCTCAGGGAATACGTGGTTGAATAAATAAGTGAATATAAAACGTCAGATCCCACATGTGAGAGTCTACAGTGTGCCAGGTAAGGTGATGGAAGGGTAGGATTCTGGAGCTTTCGAACTCAATCATATTTAATCTAAATCAGTGATGCAATTAAAAAAAAAAAGGCTCTGGTGCCTGGACTATGTTCTGACCAAGTTTGATTTTTAGTGGAGTTTTAGTAGATTAATTTAAGGATATAGCTTGTTCTTCGTCTTTTAAATCCCAGATTTTTTGAAGGAATACTGAATTAATTTTATGTCTTTTCCTGCATTGATCATAAATTATTTAGTATTGCACTTTTAGTAACTTGGTTAAAAAGAAAATGAATTATAAGTAGCATGAAACCCAATTACAGGAGAATTGACTGTTTTTAGGGAATTAGAACTTGTGATGGAGTCAGAAGCTATCTGATATTACTATGGCAGGATATCCGCAAGAGGACTTGTACTTGACCGAGCAAGGGAAGTGGTTCTTCCAGTTTCCTCTTAGGGCATTTCCACCACACTAGAGGGGGCTGTTGTACTGAGTTTGCTTACTTAATGTTCAGAATAATCTTTTCATATAGATTTGACGTGGCTTTCCTTAAACTGAGAATCAGAAGTGTATAGGATGATGATTTATGCCCTTATATACTTTTCATATGGGAAAACCAAATTTCTCTTTGGAGGAATCACTAGTATTCATAGTCAAAGGACTAGGTGTCCAGTACCTACCAAATCCTCCCCAATTCACAGGATTCAGAAGAAGCAATCATCCCATAGCCCACACCGGACACATTTACTCAAGGATTCCTTTGGAAAGGTTGGATGCTTTTATTATATTAAAATGCCCAAAGATCCACTGCATTATATTACTTATGCTTATTCTTTGCTTTATTTTGTCAAGGTAGAGAATGAGCATTATTTTTGTACATTTGTATTGTATCTCGACCTAGTAAAAGGTAAACCAAATTCTGCATTTAGCCATAAACTCCTGCTTGGGACCCAGCAAAATTATGTACTTATGGAATTAGTACTAGCAATCGTAGATCTAGTTATATTGAGAAAGAATTTTAGAGGATGAGAGGCTGAGCATATAGCATTTTAAGGACTTTTTTCTTAATCTTTCTGTTTTACAACACTTAGTTCTCTGATGGTCTATGAAGCATTTACCTAACGACTTCTAAAACAGCAGAGCCTACGTGTGAGAACCCGCAGTATGCTAGGGAAGGTGATGAGTAAGTAGGACTCTGTTTGTTGGGGTGTAGGACTGAGCAGGATGCACAAATCTGGAAGAAATTCACAGGTCGTCTTGTGCTTGGAGAATGAAGTGGTCTGCCCAAGGCTACCCAGTTAGGATTCCAATTCTGACTTAGTCCACATCTCTGTGATATGTTAGCCCTTCCATCCTGAGGACTATGTAGTTATTCATCACTGTGAGCAATACGTGGAACCCAGTAGTTTTGTTCCCATTTTGCAAACAAAAAAGAGATTTAAAAAAATGCTTTAAAAGACATAGATAGTAAAAGTAGAGTACAGCACCACTGGAAATAGAATTAAGAAGCCTTGATCCCGTGTTCGGACTCTAGCCACTAAGAGGCACTCCTTCCCAGAAAAAGCAAAATATCAGCTATGTGGTGCAAAGCAGAAAGTTCATTTTCCACATGAAGATTTTTACTTTTTATTTTATGTTTTAGCTGTCTATTACCCTAATAAAATCCGTTAGCAGAGTGAAGAAAAACTCCTGTGCGCGAGGTAAACGGTGTGCGCCGGCCCCCTTCTCCCACGCGCTGGGGGTACTCAGAGGCCCCGGAGAAGGCTGTCAGTCACTTCTCTTTCCTCTCCCCTCAGGACTGCTCTACGTTGGCTTTAGCGCCTGCATGTTTGGTCTCTACAGCTTTATGCCAGTCGTCATAAAGAAAACCAGCGCCACTTCGGTCAACCTCTCCCTGCTCACAGCAGATTTGTACAGCCTGTTCTGCGGACTGTTTCTCTTCCACTACAAGGTAAGTTGAGTCAGTGCTCCTCTGTGAAGATAATACTTGGTGGGAAATATCACATATAATGGAAATGCCCTGCAGTAGAATGCCCCTTTTGTGTAGACAAGTGGGAGTGCAACTCTGTGTGCTCACCCCGGCCGTCCCCCCCTCCCACCCACCGCCGCCCCGGGATCTGGGTATTCACATTTCCACTGGAACACAGAGGCAACATTTTGTCACAAGAGACCAGTAACTACAGGCCCTTGAAAGGGAAAAAGATAAGGGAAGGGCTTTTGGATGGTGGGAGACAGTTTTTTCTGATACCATTCACCCCAGAAGCTTACTCTTTTTCCAACCTAAAGCTAGGAAGATTTGTACAATTCCCAAACTAGAACCACAAAATGGATTCTACCAAAGGCACTCGCAGGGTACATTCTCATTGGAGCAAAGATCCAGTGCCTGCAATTTCTGTTTTGCAGATATTTTCATAGCAGGCATGAATGGGAAATGCTAATGCACTCGAAATATTGTTTCTTCACCGAAAGATTAGGGCTTGGAGTAAATGAATGCAGAGAACTTGTGAAACATTTACAGTTCAGATATCAGCCCAAGGAAAAGAAGGAAGTGTTCGGTCTAAAGATAGCAGTCTCTTCAAATGTAAGACGACCCACACGCTCACCCATGGCAGGCAGGACTCATCCGTTACGGCTCACTGAAGTCAGATGCCATCTTGTAAACACCGCACTGACTTCAGACATTAACAATTGATTAGGATTGGTATAGGAGAAGAGACCCATTTCCCATTCCTTAACTAGTCCTATAAGATAGGGGTCAGCGAGGACTATGACCAGGGTGAAAAAGGACGAGTATGAAATATCCAAACCAGATAAGCCCAAACTAGGACAGGGAAAGAAGAGAGGCAGAAGAAAGAGATACTATTCCAACCATTTCTAGCCAAGGGCTTCATCAGTGATGTTACAGTTAACACCACCAGCCCACGGGTGTGGCCAGCTGATGGTGCCTCTCGGTGGGCAGGGCATCTTCAACCAGGTCAAACTGGGTTGGAGGTTCCCTGAGAAGTGCGGAGCTAGAGGGAGTATGTACTTGAGATGACCCGAGGCAAAGCAGCGGAAGTGAATAATCGGAAATATGACTGGATAAGCCAAAGTCATAGCCAAGAACCAGACTAAGTAGGGCAGGCAGGGGTGGAAAAGCGGTCACAAATGAGGTTAGCAGAGATGACCAGAAGCAGATCTGGAAGACGAGAGGTGGAGAAAATGGCCATGGCAGAAGACAGGGATAAGGTGGCCAGTCCCTATTTTACAAGGAGCCCTGTGCCCAGTGTGGTGGCCAAAATGACAGCTGAAAGAAACTGTGTAGGACTGGACAGCCTTTATACATCGTTTTTGATTGGTTTTGTCTAGATGGTCCCATCTCTATCTCCTGAGCACACCCTGGTCCTCACTAGGGCAGAAAGAAAAGTCACAGCACATTCCCCCATTGCTCCCCACTGCACAGCTGGGAGGACCAGCTTCCCTGAGAAGCCCCCGGCAACACACCCAGCTCTTTTCCAGAGCCCTGATCTTATGGTATGGCACGGTGGCCGTCATTTTTCTTCTCTACGGTCAGGCATCCACAGCTAGTGTGTTCCCAAGTGTGACTTGGATTGCCAGCAGTGATTCCTGTGGTTGTTTCGATAAGCTCCTGAACTAGACAGATCTCCTGAATCCTCCCTAAGGAAAGATGACTGGAACCTTTTCTGACTGAGGATCGCAGGTGCTTCTCGAGCAGCCAAGATCCAGTCCGGCCCTCAGCGTTCCTCATGGCAGCTCCTTTCCCCAGAGGGACTGGCTCACCCTTCAGATCCATGGGCCACACCTCTGAGCCACAGAACCGGGTTCTGGGGATGTGTCTGGGGAAGTCTGCACTATTACTAGGCTCCCCTGTGAAGCCGATGTTCTCTGACAGCTGGGAGGGACACCTGAAGAGCGCCCATTCCTATTGGAGTGTCTCTCCTTACGCTTGCACTGACTTCTGGTTAGACCTGGGGATCTCCCCGTGAACGAGCGTCAGTTCTAACTCTCCGCCATCCATCTTCCCCTCCCAGGCTTTGTGGGTTACTACTTACTTAGGATAAGGAAGTTTGCTGAAGAGGAAGCCATGTAGTAATCCTTCATCATGCCATCAGAAGGGAGGCTGTGTTCGCTGAAAATTGGAGGTGTCATGGCTGTTTTTATTTCTTAAAGTAATGTTTCACTATATACATATATTGTGTTGCTATCTAACAGATAGATTTCTTTAATGCAACAATGGATTCAACACAATAAGTATTTTCTCTAGTTAAAATTGATTCCTATTGTCTTTTTTTAAATTAAACTTTCAAGATAATAATAGATTCACATGCAGTTTTAAGAAATAATACAGGGAGATCCCCATTTGCCCTTTACCTAGTTTCCCCCATTGGTAACATCTTGCAAAACTATAGCACAACGTCAGGATATGAACACCGAGGCCATGAGCACACAGAGCATGTTCACCCCCATGAGGGCTCACGTTGCCTTTCATAGCCGTACCTACCTGCCTCTCACCCACCTCCATAATGCTGCAAAGCCTCGCTTCTGTTCTCCATCTCTCTAAATTTGTCACTTCAAGGATGGTATGTACAGTATATAACCTTTTGGGTTTGACTTTTTTCACTCAGCATAATTCTCTAGAGATTCATACAGATTGTTTCGTATGTCAGTGGCCCATTCCTGTTTATTGCTGAGCACTATTCAATGATACGGATGTACCACGATTTATTTAACCACTCCCTCAGTGAAGGACATCTGGGTTTTCTCTACTGGGGGCTATCACAAATAAAGCTGCTCTGAACATTTATGTACAGGTTCTTCCATGAACAGTTTTCACTCTGAAATAAACACCCAAGAGTCCAATTGCCAGGCATATGGTCATAACATGTTTAGTTTTATAAGAAACTGCCAGACTGCTTTCCAGAGTGGTCTGTTGTCTTTTATTAGAAATACATATTCATCGTGAGAAAGTCAGAAAATACAGATAAGTACTGTTACACGTTGGTATGATTTTATAGTATATATGTTAATTTTATGGTAACCAATGTTACAATATAGACAATGCTCTACTTCTTTCCCTTCACTCTCAGTGTACTTACAGTTGACTCCTCACCTCTTAGTTCTTGAATAAACACGGCCTTGTAGTGTTCTTTAATTGTTTGATGAACAATGGTATTTATTATCTGCAAAAAAATAAGTTAAATACTCAAATCTAAAAATTAAAAAAAAAAACAACTTCCCTTTGCCTATTTTCTTAAAGAATCTTCCAAGCAGTGCTTGAATTTGCAGTCAAATAGTCATTGTTTAGAAAATCCAGTATTTTTTTTTCTGGGATCCAGCTTGCCTGCCTCTGAAATTGGCCTTGGGCTTCCCAGAGATGGGAGGCGCTCTAGAGCAGGGGAGAAGGGTGGGTCTGTGTGGCTTGTAGGTTTCCCACTACAGCCAGATGGGCCATCTCAGAAAATTGATTTTTAAATAATGCTTATTGAAGGTACCTTTATCATTATGAGCAGTTTCTAGTCAATGGAAAAATCATGGCAAATTTTACAAAATTCAAAAATGGTGATGTCAGGGGATGGAGTGTGTGTGTGTGTGTTTAGGGATGGGGAAAAGGTGGTTATATTTTCATGTGTCTTCTTTGAAGAAACGTCTATTTAAATTTCTTGCCCATTTTAATTTGGTAATTTGTTTTTTAATCATTGTAATATTTCTTTATATGCTGGGTGGTATACACCTATCAGATATATGATGTGTAAATATTTTCTCCCACTCGGTGGTTGCTTTTTATTTTCTTGTTAGTTTCCTTGGAAGCATAAAAGTTTTTAACTTTGATGAAGTTCAATTTATCAATCTGGTTATACTTTTTAAGACATGAAAGGAACCAGGCCAAATCCCACCATGGACCCCAGGGCCACCAAGTCTTCCCTGGTGGTCCCCAACAATGCCCTTGTCCAGGGCTGCTCAGTAGTGATTGCCAGTTACCTCAAATTGCCTGCTCTGAGGGGATGGATGAAAATCACAGCCTAAGGAAGAGAAAATCCAGTTCAGGGAGGGTGACTTTAACTATGTAAAGAGCGTAGTGGGGAAGAGAGTTTAAGCCAGTGACCCTCAACCTCGGCTGCACATGGGAATCACCTGAGAGTTTTAAGAATACTGATGCTTGGGTCCCACTCCCACTGATTCTGATTTAGGCAGTCTGCAGTACAGCCTGGGCTTGAGATTTCTAAAGGCTCCCTAGATGATCCTATTATGCAGCTGCAGGCATGTGGACCTAGGACCAAAGGGTGAAGATTATAAGATTATGGCTAACTATAAAGAAATCTTGTTAGCATTTAGTCATCCGAAAGTGGAATTGACTGTCTTGGGAGTTCTTTTCGCTGAAGGAAGCTGGACAAGAATGTGAGAGGAACAATGTGGAGGGGCCTCCCCCTTCAGTACTGAGGATTGACCGGGGACCTCTGAGATCTCATTTGGTTTTACTACAGTCTGCACATATAGTTTATTCCTTCACTTAATCATGATGCCTTTACTCTAAATAACCTTCTGGTTGGGTTATAAATATCTGCAAGTTGAAAGGGGAGGGCTATTTGCTCACGGATGTTGCTTACCCAGGCAGAACTAAATGATTAAATGAACCTCTCCTGCCCAACACTGATTATTTGCTTTTTCTCACTTTCCACCCATGGCAAAAAAATCCTTTCCCTTCCTCACCCATCAGTCCACTGTCTGCACCTTCTCTGCCTCTTTTGAGTGCTGATTGCCGTGCTGACTGGACAATGAAGCCCCACGTCCCAAGGAGGCAAATGACTGGATCCTGCATTAGACGCCCTGCATGGTGTAGTGCTCTCACAAACTCTCTTTTACAAGACTTTTGAGAAGTGGTTATATATTTCTGTTCTTATTACCCGACAACAGTATTGAATCCAGAACACTAAATCCATAGCAATCCATGGA